TTGCAAGTGCTTATAACCACTCTCCACTTATTTTCCTTGAAAATGCTTTGTTTGATGATGATTCACTTAGAGTATCACTTGTGTCACTTGGGTCATCAATAATTATAACACTAGTTAACAAAGGTTCTGTAACATGGATCAAATACGCTGCACGTTATGAATTTTGGGGGTGCTGATTTCAAATATGGCAATAAAAACTGTCCGTCATGTAACATTTTGATAATATATGTGTATATGTAGTGTAGGACTATAAGATACGTACTTGTTGATGGTTACAAGTGTTCCCTGAAGAATGCAGTGATGGGTAGGGAAACACAGGGTAACACTGAAGTCCGTTTATTATGGATGAGAGAAATACAAGTGGTGACTCGCGTGTGCCATGCACGGCTCACACAGTCAGACTGAGGCTGCCTTGCCATATGGCAGCCTCGGGGCAATGTTGCCACATAACACGTGCAGTGTTACCACGTAATTATATATATAAATGCTACTCGGCACAGTAGCTTATTTACAAGGTTGCTACTTGGCACAGTAGCATAGATACATAACCTACACTTATGTTTGTAGGAATATATTAAAAGCATGGTTATCAATACTGAACAGGAGAATGGAGAGAATACAACGCCGAGGCTGTGTTAATTCACCAAATTGAGTATCCAAATGTACTTTCGGCAATAAAGCCCGTTCCTCACGGAGAAGGCCTCCCTTTCCTACACCACCGGCTAATTTGGAAGAGCTCTCAATTTCCAATGAGGAAATTGAGGACGAAATCCCAGAATCATCCCATGATCCTCCTTTCATTGACCAGACTTCCAATAAACCACATCTTATAGAACAAAGTAAACTTAATAATCTTGTACGTGATCTCCTTTTGGCAAAGCAGCAGGCGGAACTCTTAGCATCAAGACTGCAGGATTGGAACTTGCTAGCGAAACAGACAAGAATTTCTGTTTTTAGGAAAAGAAATATTACGTTATCTTCATTCTACAGTATGCAGGATTCCCTCTGTGTGTGTACTGATGTAGATGGACTAATGTCAGAGTTGGGAGAAAAACTTGACCCAAAGGAATGGCGGCTTTTCATAGATTCCTCCAAGTTTAGTTGGAAAGCAAGTATTGTTGCTTAATGGGAACCAGAAGCCATCAGTTCCAGTAGCGCATTCTGTAGGTTTGAAGGAAACGTATGATAGTATGGAGAAAATACTGACCGCTATTAAATACAAGATCTGCGGCGATTTGAAGGTTATAGCCTTTCTACTCGGGTCTAGGACAACTGGCCGCCGCCATTTGGCCGCAGCCCAACTGGCCGCGGGAAACTCGCCGCGGCCGACTGGCCGCCATATGGAACTTTTTGTTGACAACCTAACCTAACCTAACCTAACCAAACCTAACCTAACCTAACCTAACCTAACCAAAAATAGGCGTTTGCAGTTTACCCCCAGTCCGCGGCGGCCAGTCGGCCGCGGCGAGTTTCCCGCGGCCAGTTGGGCTGCGGCCAGATGGCGGCGGCCAGTTGTCCCATTCCCTTTCTACTCGGCCTTCAAGGATGGTTCACGAAATATTGCTGCTTTCTGTGTTCATGGGACAGCAGAGCAACAGAAAAACACTACAACACAAAGGACTGGCCAAAGAGAGAAGAGTTTGTTCCAGGTAAAAGCAACGTAAAATATATTCCCTTGGTAGACCCGAACGATGTACTTCTACCTCCTTTATACATCAAGCTGGGACTAATGAAGAATTTTGTGAAGGCTATGGACAAACAAGGTGATGGGTTCGTGTACTTGAGGGGAAAATTCCCACAGCTCAGTGATGCTAAAGTCAAAGAAGGTATCTTTGTTGGCCCACAGATAAGAAAGTTACTTCGTGATGACGACTTTGAAAACAAACTGAATGAAAATGAGCTTGCCGCATGGAAATCCTTCACATCTGTAGTCAAGGGGTTTCTTGGCAACAAGAAGGAAGAAAACTATTGCCAACTTGTAGAGGAACTCTTAAAAACTACAGAAACTTAGGATGCAGAATGTCCCTGAAAGCCTACCTTCTGCACTCGCACTTTGACCTTTTTCCTGAGAATCTGGGGGCGGTTAGTGATGAACAAGGAGAGCAATTTCATCAGGACATTAGACGTATGGAGGTCAGGTACCAAGGCAGATGGGATCCTGCCATGAAGGGGGATTATTGCTGGGTTTTTTTTGCAATCGGAGAACAATACAACACATAAAAAGATTAAATAAAATAACAAATGCCCATACAGTGACTAATTTAATACTTTTTGTGTCTTCTTAGGAGTTTTTCATTCCTTATTGAATTTTAGTGATGACGTGGAAAAGGGTAACAGGAATAACAGAAAAAATTTATTTGTACTTTTTTTATTTGTAAGATTTAGTTTTTTTGCATAACACATAAACTGTACGTGCTAGAGAATTTGTATTGCCAAATTTGAAATCAACACTTCAAAATTACCAAAAGGAAGCTGCTCTGAACCAGGTTACGTATTTTTTTTATATGTTGCCTTGTATTTATTATTTTTGAGTACTGCACTAGTTTATAGTATTCATCCCACCGCAGCCACCAAGTGTGATAGCTGTTTGGGTATCACGCTAATTTTTTAATTAAGTTCTGGAACTCTTTAAGTGGCAGGGTTTGGTGTAAACACTTCTTGGCCTTTTCTGTTTATTATCGAAGCAGGTATATACACAGGTACAATCTGAGAGAATATATTGTGAGTCTCTCCAGGTGAGTGTTGGGAATATCACTTTGAGATAATACTGAGTTAAGTGCCTAGCTTCCCTGTCCAATGGTAATAAGTGAACCGCCTTCTCTGGGCGTGAAAGAGCAAGCCGGTTGTTTGCTAAATCAGCTGACGCGCGCTCGACCTTTGAGAGAGATGTAAGCCAAATTATCTTGAGTCGTGAATGACATGGTGACTCACTTGGTGAATAACTTGGTATTATTCATTTGGGTGAATATTTATATAAAGCAAGGTGCTGTTACACCAGTGAGGTGTTGTGGTCGTGGCAGCGATTGAAGAAAATTACTTATTTCACACTATAGTATGGTGGTGGGATAGCCCTCGCAGTTTTTCCTTCCACATTAAGGGTAAACATTATCACAGGGGGTAAAGAAAATTTTTTGAGGCAACTGTACCAAAAATATGTTGGACGACCTTGTCAGAAAGTGCCTGATTGCATAAAAATAGCAGTTCCTATCACCTTTGGTTTCTGTAGACTCACTTTGGTTCATTTCATCATGCACCTCCCGAAATAGACAGGCTTCTCTACCCTGAGCCCAAGTCCACCTGCCAGTTTACTCTGTGCCATCCGCAGGAAGGGTTTGAAAATTCTGGCTGGTGTTCTGCTTTGCTTGCTTTGTGGAAGATTTTAGTCATCTAACTCCCACTTGCGTTCCCTGTGGAGGGTATTGCAAGGAATGTCACTGGCAGAATTGAAACTAGTACTAGGATGGTCAGCATTAAAAATACCAAGTCCAGCAGAAGAGGACTTTACAATGACAGGGTCGGAACTGAAAAATTCTACTGGTTGACAGTTGTCTGAAGAATCCGAGCTGGCAGGGTCACTTCCATGGATCTGTAAAGAAGATGAACGTATTGTCAAGTTGTAAGATAAATCACATATCAATTATAAGGAGGGTTAGAAATATAATCATGTAAGTAATTCACACACCAATTATGTTATTTGCACTATCAGAAGTACAATAATTTAATTAATCTATATATCAGTTATAGTTAGAAATAGGACACTGATGGTCGTAACTGTGCATAGGAGTGGGCTGGTGTACAGTACATGCAATAACTGTCCAGTCATCAGGTTCTTTATTCGGACTCGTCCCTTGTCTAGACTTTCAACAACATCATAAGGTCCGATCAACCGAGGCTCCAGCTTCGAACTCATGCGATATAATCTGCGGCTGTTCTTTACATAAACCCTTGAACCTATTTTAAGAGATTCATGACTGTTTTGTCTCGTGTCGTACGCTTCCTTTTGTGCTGCCTTTGCTGTTGTGATGTTTTGGGCTACTTGACAGATAAAATAAAAATTCTTACCCATTACCTCATTGACGAATTCCACACTAGCGCAATTCAAATTTCCCAAGTCGTCGGCTGCAGATTGAACATCAATAGGTAACTTGGCCCTCCTTCCATACATGACTTCAAAAGATTTACTTTTGTGGACTTATGTATTGTACGTACGGTTATGTGATATGCTAGCAAATTCCTAGGAATCAGATCATTCCAATTATCTCAGTTCTCTTCGACCTTCTTGTCCAAGAAGCTCTTTAGGGTGAGGTTATCACGTTCCCGTTGACCAGTTTATCCTACAGGGTTGCTGCAACTTGATAACCAAATTCTCTCTCCTGGTCACTTATCAGGGCATCCATACAGCTATGTCTGTAGATGAGTGTGAACAAAAAATCTGCCACAGAGACTGGCAGTTGTTTTGTCTAGGAGGCCAGGTGCTTCTGACCATTTACTGAAGTAATCCGTCACTACCACACAGAATTTGTTACCTATTGCCGATTCCTGTAGGGGTCCAATCACTTCAATAGTTACAAGAATCCACACCTTTAAGGTCACTGGAATATGATGCAGCGGTGGTACGCCTGATGTACACTTGAAGTTCACTTTGAAACAAGCTTCACATTTAAATTAACAAAAGTTATATTGTAGATTGAGATAGAAAACACAGAGCTAACGAAAGGCTAAAAATTATAGGGATAGAGTGATAGACATTAGTTGACCAGTCCTTGTAGTGACCTGACAACACAAAAGTAAGAACATATTTTATACTAAATTAGAAATTATAAAATGGTCATTGAGGTCTAATGGTTCATAGGAATAGTTAGTATTGTTATTATTATTATTAGTAGTAGTATTATTAGTATTAGTATTATTACTATTATTAGTATTATTATTATTATTATTATCATTATTAATATTATTATTAATTAGGATCCTTTCTACACAACACTCCTTATTTTCAGGAGTGGATTGAACACTCTGGAGAATCTGGCTTGTCGGTGTTTCACGTGGGCCAAGGTTCGACGGCATATGACAAGTGGGAACCCATATACATAGGCACCAATTCAGAGCCTATTTATGATGAAATGCTGTCCTTGGAAGGCAAGAGGGAAAAGATAGTGCAGGTATACATCTCATAATTACTTTGGCTCTCAGAGCAGAGTTAACTTTCAAAAAGTGTTGTTTTAAGCCTGTAACGTGATGTACTGTGTGTGTTTTTAAGTGAAATGGGCATGGCTTGGTGTATAGCACAGAGTACCATTGAGGACAAAACTCATCTTGTAATACCCCATTCAGTGCATCAGTAAGATCGCCAAGGATTTATATGAATTTAATTTTAGTTAGAGAGGTGTTGAGACATCGGCTAAAATCTGTAATGCCTGTTTGGTCCTGAAGAAACCTATTTGTAGACGGTTAATGTGGACAAGATTTCAATTAGGCGGATCCTAACCAGGGGAGAATTTGATGTGTGTAGGGAAGAATGAAAGCCTAACCTACAGAAGGAATAAAAATTAGAATCTGTTACAAGCCCAAATATAAGAAAAAATCTTATGAGGATAGTTATATGACTTTGGATTCCGGTTTATCAAGAAGGATGGTACTGAATTACCTCAATGTGCAATTTTCCACAAAGTCCTTGCAAATGATTCGATGAAACCATTTTAACTAAAACAGAATCTTAAAAAGCTTCATCGAGAGCGAGCCCAAAAGGATCGCTCCTTTCCAAGATGAAAGGCACAACTGTGAAGAAATCGAGACAGGTTGGCAGTGGAATCTTCCAAGATATTCCCAAGGCCATTACACATTCTTCATATGCCATGGCACTGTATGAAGCCAAGGATAAGAAGGCCTCCATATATCAAAGAAACTTTGAATAAGTCACTTATGCTTGAGTGCACGAAACTCGTACTTAATGTGACAACATTATCAAGTCATATATAGATGAAATATCTCACAACATGAGACTACTGATGTTGCAAACCTCTCTTAGCTCATTGTTTTTTGCTATTTATTAGTTAGTAATCTCAGGTTACAGAAAAATTCAGTATATTTTGCCAAATACTCATATAATACATTAGTTCAAGAAATGTCTTGTTTTTCCTGAAAAATTTAGTTTTCTGCCAATGCTATATTCTTGATTGTAGCACTGATTGTAGCACGAGTGTGATTTTTGTTATTGTTATGATAAAGCATTTTGCTGATTTAGTAACCATGGTTTGCAAAGCCAAGTTATGACCAGTGCCAAGCTTATTCACAATGCTGTATAGTAAAGGTGACGGAGGAAATCCCTGGTGGAGTAGTACTTCATTTTATCAACAACTCTGATGTTCAATTCAATTTGGACTACCAGTGGTCAAAGTCGGATGAAATATCGAATTTGTCAATAAAACTGAAGTACTATTCCATTTGGGCTTTCCTCCACCTAGAATCCTAGACCATGACTAATAAATGAACTAATATCAGAGGACCCTGACTAATTAAGTTTGTCATGAAAGACATAAATACTGGACTAACTTTTGACAGTCACTCAACTAGTTTTCCTTACTAACTGTTGGTGTGTTAAGATAAGCATAGGCTGTTTTTTTTTTTGTAACTTGACTAATTATTGTTTCCTGTGAAGAACATGGTAAGTTCAGACCACATTCAAGTAAGACAGCATGTGTATGTTGTCACAGGGGTTCACTCAAGGCAACCACTGTGTGAGGGACTTTACAGGGTTGTCTCTAATTTATTTGATATACTACATAAGTTTCTTCTCTGCAAATCATGCTGTGTGTTCCAACCACAGCAAGATTTTTACTCCTTAACCTTAACCCCATCTGTGCATACCCAACTACAGCCTTCCACTGACGGTCCTTTTCCTCAAGGAAAGTGGAAACTAGATTCTTGATTTCCTTTGCCTTTGGTGTGTGGTCAGAAGACGCCAAAACAGGAAGCCATTTTTTATCTTTTGATCATTAACAAAACGGGTAAAAACCATGAGCTGAGAGAGGTATGCAACATGAGTAGTCTCATGTTGTGAGATGTTAAACAGTGGGAAAAAATTAGGAAAAATATTCCCAATAACACACAACACTTTTCATATGCAAATTCTTATTCAAGACTTCCATAAAAACAAACCTAGAAAAAATATATAAAATCCCTAATGTCCTTTTGGCGTTATCTGTCTCCTCCTCTATTACCATACAGTAATATGTCCTATTTTCCCTCTTGCGTGACAGGTACCGGTCATGGACAGAAGCCCATATTAAAGACCAGCCTGTAAAGTTCGTTTTGATTGACATGATATACCACTAAGGGAGAGAGATAGGGCGTATCAAGTTATGAAACTATCTGCTTCTCCTGTTACCCACACCTCTTTCCTTACTTCTAGGAATCGTTATAGGGCTATTCTTCGTCAAGCCAAGCGGAATTTTATAAAAAGAAAGACCGCTGACTTGACTAACTCTTCCTCGAGTAAATCGTTCTGGTTCTTAACCAAAAACATCTGTAATAACTTCTGTACTCACTCTTTTCCTCGTCTCTTCCGACCTGATAACTCTATAGTCAACTCTCCACCTCATAAAGCCAAGCTCCTTGGCACCTTATTCTCCTCTAATTCCACCTTAGACGATTCTAACTCTATCCCTCCTAATCCAGCTCCTCCTACTGGTTGCCGGTGTGTTATCCATGTTGGATGTGAGTAAGGCGCATGGACCGGACGGAATACCCCCTCATGTTCTGAGGAAGTGTGCTGAAATTTTTATCCCTGTGCTTACTCGCCTCTTTCGCCTTTGCCTTACAACCCAAACTGTTGTTCTTCTTGGAAGCATACCTTGGTTCAGCCCATCCCGAAGAAGGGTGACCATTCTAATCCCCCTATCTATCGCCCCACTTCTCTAACTTCATCCTTCTCTAAGATTTTCGAAATTATCTTAAACTCTCATTTTCTCCGTCACTTTATACGTCTTTCTCCTTTGTCGGATCACCAGTATGGTTTTCGCCAGGCGAGATCTACTGGTGATCTGCTCTCCTACTGCATCCATCTCTGGTCATCCTCTCTTAGGGATTATGGGGAAGCTTTCGTCGTGGCCCTCGACACCGCCAAAGCATTTGACAGGGTATGGTACAAGTCTTTGCTTTCTAAACTTAACTCTTATGGTTTCTCTCCCCCACTTTTTCCTCTAATTTCTGGCCTCCTTGAGAACCGATCCATGGCAGTTGTTGTTAAGGGACCGATCTCTCGCTCTTTCTCTACCAATAGTGGTGTCCCACAGAGTTCTGTTCTCTCACCTACTCTTTTCCTTCTTTTTATCAATGATTTACTTCACATTACGACTAATTCTATTCATTCTTACGCTGAAAACTCTACTCTTCACTCTTCTTTACATATTCCCTTCCCTCTAATTAATTATCAAACCAGATCTGTTTCTAGAGTTCAAATCATTTCAGCTATCAATGCGGATATGTGCAGCATCTCCAAATGGGGAGGTAGAAACTTGGTTAAATGCAATAGTAATAAAACACAGTATTTACCAATTATACTTTCCAAAATAGAAGAGATCCCACCAATTACGTTTCAGGACGCATTCATTCTGCTAAATTCTAAAATAGATATGCTTGGCCTCACCATTTACTCTAATATGCCAAGCCACAAATCCACGACTTTGGTAAAGCTGCCTCCCGAAAGCTGGTAATGCTGTACAGATGCCGTAGCTACTTCACTCCATAATCAGTTGCTTCAAGCTTATTCGTCCTAACTTGGAGTGCTGCTCTCATATCTGGGATGGCTCTTCTTCTGTCAAACTGTTAGATAGGGTGGAATCAAAGGCATTTCGCTTTATTAACTATCCTCCTTTAGTTGATAATCTCTCTTCGCAATGTTATTTCACTCTCTCTCATTTACAGGTATTTCAATGGGCAATGTTCGGTAGCTTTGGCATCCTGTGTACCGCCGGCAAGGCCTTGCGCTCGTAACACTTGTCTTGCCCGCGGTGCCCACAGTTTCTGTGTGGATGTCGGTCGCATTAGACCAGTGGTTCTTAACCTGTTTAGGGTCGCGCCCCCCATAGCAGTTGGTCTTCATCTCCACGCCCCCCTCCTCCCTTCTAAATCTAAAAATTCTAAAACAATTTCCTCTTGAATTAAATAGGAAAATTGAGAAACTAGTTTTTCATTCGTTACTGTAATAACTTTAATTATTAAATAGAGTCTGTATAAGCAACTCGTTAATACACAACATATTTAGTGAGAACACATTTAGTGAGATTGTTTACACTGTTTCTGAGCTACCAGATCCTGAATACGTGGCCGCGTGCCAGGGAGATCGCAGCGCAAGTCCCCTTCAACGTTCAGCTTGTTTCTGTATTTGGTCTTGACAGCAAACCGGTGCAGAAAATACGGCCTCACAAAGATACGTAGATCCAAACATCGTCGGAATCCGAACAACTTGACGTTCAGTTCCCGACATTATTGCTAACTTAATTCAGTCAATTTTAGTGAAATTTTTCATTTTGATTGACGTAGTTACCATTTACTACTTTTTCAAGTATCTATGGGGAGCGAAAATCCAAATAAGGACATACATACACCTGTTAAAGCCATTACTTATTTTTGCTCTGGGTTCGCCCCCCCCCGCCCCCTGGAAATTATTCAGGTCCCCTTAGGGGGGCGTGTCCTCCCGGTTAAGAACCGCTGCACTAGAATAACCCGTTATAGTACATCCTTCTTTCCTCACACAGCCAAACTGTGGAATGCTCTGCCTTCTTCTGTGTTTCCATACTGTTATAACCTCACTTCAAAAAGATGGTTTTCCGGTATCTTCGTGGTGTAGATTAATTTAATATTTTCTTTTCTATTTTTAATTTCTTTTTTACTCATAATTTTTCGCTCCCAGGCCCCGTTGTTGGTCGATGACCTGTGCCTGGATGGGCTATATTCCCCGTAAAAAACAAAAATGTACAATTTGCGGTTATGATTTTGTGAAGTACAACTATGGAACTCTATATTTATTTTGGTTTTAATATAGTTTCGGACATTACTAGAATATTGTGATTTTCATCTTATATTTAATTGTTTTCAACAATTCTAAGACCTTTTCCTTCTATACGATTTCTTTGCAAATGCACATTTATCCCCTATGTTAGGTTAGGTTAGGTTAGGCTAGGTGATTTGCTAAGGAAATGTTTAGAACACATTAAAAAATGCATTGGAAAATATAATTTAACTTCCAAAACTCGTGATGTTCGAAACAATAATTTTACCAGGTTAGGTTGGTTAGATAAGGTTAGGTAGGTTCGGTAAGGTTAGGTCAGGCTTTCCAATAAGTTTTGTGCAGTGTCATTAAATTTTCTTACTTAATCGCACCCAAACAACATCTGAAAATTTGGTGCAATTCCTTAGACTCCTTCTGGTGCTAACTGTCTTCTATAACATTATCATGTAATGTAGTTTTGAAAATGAGCCCTGGTTCGTGAGTTTTACTTACATCTTCTCTGCTTGCTTTTCAAAATATGGTTTAAACTTGTGTCACCTTTACTAAATATAATAAATACTTATCTTTTCTTGTCCTTTGGGAAGAAATGCAACCTCAGGTCTTTAGTGTTGTTTTTATTTGTGCCGCACACATCACACCGGTGAATCATGTTCTTTCTCTCCTTGTTTGTGTTACTGCCATGTCAGTCACCATGTCCAGCGGTCAAGAGTCAAAACAAAGAGCGACGCAACTTTTCCTGCCATTTAATTAGTATCATCTAGTGGCCAGGCTTGCGCACTATGGGTATCTACATTATGTACCTCTAAGATGCGCTTCCTCCTATATACAATGCTTTCATAGAAGCTGAGTGTAGGCATGTCACACAACAGCCTGTCATTCCCCTTTCACCCAGCCTATGAGTGAATTGTGCCTGGCCTCCCTGCCTTAGCTCATTTATTCCTCCCTTGTTCACTGTCTCCTTGAAACAGATACGCTAATATGCCACACTAATATCATATTTCTTTCGTAACCAACTTAAAAAGAACATTATCATGATATTTTTTGATCAAGTGTTTACAGGAATAATTTGTTATATTTTCTTGAGAGGTCATATAAATTAATAGAAATAAACACAATTTATGTAAGCAGGTAGGAAAAAAAACATAAAATACAATTTATTTAAAAAAAATTGTAGCATTGTTCATGTTCAGTTAGGGAGGCCGGAAGGTGGAGGCCCACAGTCATTGTCATGTGGTTCTTGTTATTCTATATAAAAACATTCGTCAGGGCAAAATAAATGAGTAAAACTTTATAATTTTCTATTTATTACATAGTTTTCTATGAACATGTGAGTAATGAGAGGAAAGAAATAGAATATTTATGAATACAAAACAGAAAAAAATTTAATTTTAACATTCATATTTGGTTCGCTTACGTAAGAGGCCCTAGGGAATTCCCCGAATGGGACAATCACATTGGTGCGTAGCGGGAAATTTAAATGCCTAGAGTACAAAGTTATGCAAGTTTTCGGTCTTATGAAAACGAAATACACAATTTAAGCCCCCCCCTCCCCTCAACTGATAAACGCTTAAAAGTTATGGTTAATAACATGAGCTGTCCCTAGAATCGTCATTGATATATTCCAATAAATTATCACGAGCAATATTATGAAATTCGCGTCGTTAATAACTTCACTAAATGCAAAAGGAGATGGATAACATACCCACCACCACCCAACCACCATCCCAGTTCGGCGACCAGTCCATTCTGTACAGTACTATACCTCTTTTCTATGAATATTTATCGTTTAATATGATATCTGTCCTCCTGACACCCACCTAAGTAAAATCCCATCATCAATAAGTGGTGAAGTTCAAAGTGGAGGAGCACATACAGACACTCAAGAGTGAATTGTTCACATAATTCAGGAGTCTAACAGATACAAAGTGTGTTCGTGTGTTTCCTCTGTGTGTTTTTTATTTGTGTTGTTAAAAGCGAGTTTGCAACATATAAGTAATTCATTTCTCCAAAGATGTAACATCATATATTCCTATCATTTCCCTTATTTAATATGAGATGAAACAGTAATAGTTCACCGCAAACATTTCATGTCCTTTTCTTTGTGTTTTTTTCATGGATACATGTATAAAATAATTACATAAACCCCAAAAATGCCATATAAAATTATTAAAATTCTAAAATATGGTGTGGTAGATATATATGATCAAGGTATTGTGTTGTAGTTACTGACTGACAGTAGCCTATATCGCTGATAATGTTATTTTTAAAGTAATATAGTACAAATTATTATATTCTTTACTATTTTACCATATATCATCGATAATTTGTGCAGTTCATAGAGGATATGCAGAAACAGAAGCCATATAATGAATTGTTAACAAAATCGGGGTTTCTGGCACACTCCCTGTGCGTGTGTCTGTTACTTGTCATTTAACAAGACCCGCTTTATCTGCCTGATCAAGAATATAAGACCGGGACTGTACATAAAACATAATGCTAGATAGTAATATATACACTGACTTTTAGCTCTGTATTGCGGTGTGGCTATATCATATTTTAATAATGAAATTATTATTTGTAGATGTACACACTGTGCTTGAAGGGCTACGAGTTCCACGTCCTGGACAACGCTTTCCTCGTGTACCGACCCGGTAGCACGAAACACAAGCTCTGGCATCGAGACATGTTCGTAGCTGAACAATACACGTTTATAAAGGAAGAATTAATACCACGCTACTTAACAATGTTTAAAGAAGATGAGAAGTGTTATATCTAATTCTTAAATAGTACATTTTACGCAGAAAATCTGTAAATACTTTAATATGATGCATGCGTGTTGACTCATTTCAGAATGACTATTATTTACGAAAATGGATATTGCATTTAGAAACGTCAATATTGTGATATGATAGAATTATAGTTAATTGTGATAAAAGATATATGACTTTAGTTTTCTCAGACATGCCACAGCATCTTTGATATACTGAGTGTACTTGTGGTGTCTGGTATAGTGTTATTAGGGTAAAGCTTCTGGTTATTGCAGTCAGGTGGCTTACCTGATGTGATTTCACGTGACTGCCACCCATTACCATAGATTTGCCCAGCCATGTCCAAGTATGGCAGTATTTTTTTGAAGATGGCTTCCAATATATCCAAGCATATCTTGTACGCAGTTGCTGTTTTTTGTTTTTGAAAAAAAATCATCTATTTTGTATAAATCAACAATATATATTGTTTATTCATCAGTTATTTATTGAATTTTAGTCTAGTTTAGTCTTAAAAGATAATAATTAGAGTATTTAAGAAGTTCCCTCAGTAAGTGGATGATTAAAGGAAAAGTGGCGCATACAACTTTGGTGTTGGTAAAATGCTAATGGTTCGAAGGTTTATATTATGTCCTTAACTTATATAAACTATTATAATTTAGCAATACGCTTCTGAATCTGAATAATATTATATAACAGTAAATATAACATGTATCAGACAAGTACTGCCAAAGAATTAGTTTATACTGTATGTGCAAACCTAATAGTTTTTCTTATATTACACATAAATTGTATTTGGAAGAAAATGTGTATGTTAAACCAGTGTGATTATCAGTTGGAACGCATGTGCTCAAGATATATAACATCAGGTACAATCAATAAAACAAGTTAACACGTCCATTACAGAATAGTACAGACATGTACCAATCTGTTCTGGTCCAAACATTACAAAGCTGAATTTTGTCACCGTAAGATAATGTACAAAAATGATTTAACCATTTAAAGAAGGTAAAAATTATCCTAATTCTTAACATTTTTCCTTTTGAAAAGTCAAAAACAAAAATGGTAAAATCTCGGACATATTTAGACATTTCAAGTACCCGGTAGGGCCAAACAGTAGCTTATGTTAATGAAAAATCGGTTGTATGGTAACCTTATCAAAAGCAATAAAATTACTGAAAAAGAACTTTTCTTCTGGTAAAGTTTCATAATTATTTAAACATATTGCATATGGGTGTTTGACATCTGCATCTGTGTAATGTATATAATAATATTATTATTATCACACCAGGACTTTCCAGATTGTTTCATAGTCCGGATAAATTTTTGGGTGTCAGCAGTCTGGCAAGGACTCATCAATGGAACAATGTTCCTAAATTTCTAGCACTTGAAAATTAAACACATTTTTCCTAAAGACCTCGAGTATTTTAAGAATCATCATATTAATTAGCTGAAGTATTGTAAAATAAAAGGAGGGTACAAGTTTTGAAACATTGTTTTAGATAGACAAAAAAAACAAGGTATGCAAGCTGCACACAGTATTTTCTTATTAAAGATCACTGATAGTTACATAGCCTATTAGTGGGGCAGCAAATTTAGCATGGTAATTCTCTAATGGTTACTAGTCAAGTCTGCCTGATTGGCCATTTGAAAATCCAAGAAGGCGGTCATTTTTCAAGATGGCCGCCATATTGACCTTCAAAAGTTGATTTTTCTTATAGAAATTGATGTAGTTGGTCAATCTGAGTGATCTTGGCGTCGATATGTATGTTTTCAAGCATGCTCAGATGATCTTTTTTTAGTTTTAAGTCCATTGTAACATTTTTATCCACATAAAATAACACTTTTAGTAAAACAATATAACAAAAAAAAACTTACTAAAAAAAAAAGTACTCACTATTAGCACTGGTTCCTGTGACTTCTCCTGACAGTACATCTTTGTGCATTTATTGCTGTTCACATATGCAGCTGCAAAGTGCTGTGCAGGAAAGTCCAGAGCGAAAGCTTTTGCATCTCTGGTTTGCATTCTATCTTACAGGAACATTTGGTCAGCTCCTGACAGCATGTCGCAATCGGGGGAAGAGTCGTCCAACGTATCTGCCATGCCTCTCCCTTCTACGTCCATCCCCAGTTGACAGGAGTGATGGTTTCTGGATTAGAGATTGTTGCCTGGCCCCAGATGATACCAGCCTGGTAGGCAGCCCGCTTTGCATGTTCCTTGATGGCTGCCTGGGTTGGTGGAATGGAGTCATATGGTCTCTGCTTGCGGGGAAAGAGATTTAGTCTTGCCTCATCTACACCAGTGGCTGCACTAGATCTGTCATACATGAGGACAACGAATCTTTCCAGCTTCTGCAGGTCAACATCAGCTACTGTTGTTAGACATTGGCTGAGTTTGGTGAATGTTTCTGAAACTTCATCACAGACATTCCATGTCTGCCATGCAGATTTCTTTCCGTTCCCACGGAAGCCAGACACAACGTCACAGCCTGTGAAAGCATGAAAGCATAGGATTCCACTAACTTTCTTAGGCCATATCGCAGAAACTACATCATGAACTAGAATCCATCGATGACTGGCTCCTTGGCCAAAGGCAATCCACATGTTATCAAGACCAAGCTCCTGTAGTGATGGCAGTGCAGATACTGCTATGACGACCACGTCAGTGTCATTGGCTTTGATGATGAGGGACTTGCTACCTTCCATTGCGGCAACTGCTTCTCCCAGCTGAGCTGATAATTGTAGAACTCTGCCACATGAAATGCTCACCCCATTTTCATGCAGCATGTCCATGAGCTGCCTCTTTCTTGTCTTAACAAACACAGACATGCCGACGTAGATAGCAAAAGGTGTCTCATGGTCCTTGGAGTGTCTGTGGATTTGTGTTCCTACCTTGTAGTTGGCAAAGCAGTTGTACTGTAATAGCTGTGATATAGCAAGGTCAGACTTCGATGCGCCATGCTGGAGTTGGGATTTGATATCTGCACTATGTTCGATCATGCATACAAATTGAAGCAGTGATGGTGGAACAGCCTGTTCAATGCATCCTTCATGAAATGCACTGCTGAAGTGTGACTTGTGCTGAAGCAAGTCCCGTCGTATCATCCCAGCAGCCTTGGCCAGATGGATCGCGTCACCATATTTACTTGCTTGTGCCAGGATTGAGCCAACATCCTTCTCAAAGGCCAGTAGGATATCTCTTCCTTGGTGATGAGCTTGCAGCAGGGGGATGTGAAAAAGCAGCTGGCTCTTCAGTCGAGTATCATGAACATCGGGCGATCCAACACCCAGCTGCTCAAGTCTCTGTCTGTAGAGTGTGACCAGGTCAGCAAGTCTGAAAATGGGTGGTTCAGTACCTTCACTAGAAGCTTTCATCTGAGTGATGCAAGTGGCCAGTTCGCAGAAAGCAGTTGGGTATGCATCCTTGTTCGAATGAAGCTCTTGCGCTTCTTCTTGCTCATGAGCATTTCGGTGTGTTCTTTCTTGGTTGTACAGGTCTGCCAGGCAGCGAGGGTGATACTTCAGTTCTTGTGCCATAACATCTCCTGCACTTAGTTTGGCAAGGAGTTTTCCATCGCTAAGTGTCTGCGCACAATCATTCAATGTTTTATTAAGTTTCATTGTCATTGCATGTCTTATGTCATTTCCCGAAGCTTCTTCCTCACATAGAAAGCATTCTGTTGCTTTGGGGTCTCTGACCATTCGTGGTATCTTGCTGCTGCTGCTCTCCTCTGTAGCAACTGCAGAGGTTCGCCTTTTCTGAAATCTATTTAACTTTGTGTTGTTGAACAGAAGTCTCCAACTTTCATGATACCGTGCCTTGTTTCTCCTCAAGGTCTCCTCTATCCCATCATCTTCAACAAATCTTGCAGAGTCAAGCTTGATTGGCAGTGCATTGATTGAATGAACTAGAGGAATATTGCTTACCAAGCTCTTGTAACCGCCATCTCCTTTTTTGGCAGGATTTGCATGTGGTCGATGTGGAGGCTTAAGATCTTCCTTCTTATCCTGTTGACAAAGACAACACTTTGCCCAGTCAGTGAGGAATGATTTGTTGGTAGATTTTGTGTCCATAACTATTTTTGTCATCAGGGCCGAGGGTTTATCCTTTTACCACCCTGATGAGCACTTTCTTGTATGGGATACAACTAGGTTCATGCCTTTTACCCTACACCTAGTCCGATCGTTCATCCAGTGTCATTAGTCCCGTGCGATCTGTACACCATCCAGATAACTAAACCCCGTTATCCTTGGCTCGGCTCTCCCGCGCTGGCACATCCTGTCAATTCAGGTGTGGCTACTTAACTGATTTGGGGTTGGTTAAGCAGCATTTGGGACACTAAGCTGTTGCAGTATGACATGCCTTTTCTTAGCTGACACTGAACCCCATGCTGGGATGCACAGCAGTGATGTCACCAGTGTGCCCTGGTAGTGCCCGACAATCACTCCTTCACATGCAGAGACCCTCTGCATGATACCCTCACCAAGTTGGAAAAAACATAAAACCAGTACATAAAACCAGTCATAAATAAGACAAATATATATCTGAGAGTATCAGAAATAGAAAAAAAAATCATCTGAGCATGCTTGAAAACATACATATCGACACTAAGATCATTTAGATTGACCAACTACATCAATTTATATAAAAAAAAATCATCTTTCGAAGGTCAATTTGGCAGCCATCTTGAAAAATTGCCGCTATCTTGGATTTCCAAATGGCCAATTAGGCAGATTTGACAAGTAGCCCCTTGGGTATGATCATGCCAAATTTCATGCTTGTATCAACATTTGCACGATTTTTCCATTATCCGCTCTACTACATGTAACAGAAGCATCTACACTTAAATGCAGAAACCATTACTAAATAATGATATACATGATATTATTTAAAAAAGAAAAAAATATATACCTTAATCTCTCACTTGGTACCAATATACTGCAATCCTTTCCTTTTTAACGCATTGGGCAGAAAAAAAACTAGGCAGCCTGAAAATTTAATGAATTACTATGTCCTTAAGGCAATGATCTATGTATCTTTAGTATAATGATGTCCAACTTATAGGATAAAATCTCCCAACGTCTTTCCCCCTTAGCAAATAAGTTTGTTGCAGGCGTAATAAAACTTTCAACACCTTTAGATAGTTCACCATGTATGTTTAATTTTGCAAGGCCATTCAACCTCTCCGTACCCATTATTGCTCTTCTATTACTTTTTATATTGCTAAGAGTGGAAAAACTGTGCTCTACAGTAGCAGATAATATAGGTAAAGTCACACACATATGCACCAATCTTTTAGGGACAGGGTAATTATTTGAACACTGATCACACGTAGCTATTACAGTATATAATATAATCATCGACTTCATCTAGCATCATTCTGTTTGAAAGAAATTCCTTATAATGTACATGCCTAATACGTGCCCAGACCATCAAAAGAAGTTCTGCCAAATAACTGGGAACTAGGGAACACGATGAATAATTTGAAAAACGTTCCTCAAACTGATTAAGAACATAATCTACAAGTGGGATAAAGATTGCTTTGTGATAGTATTCACCGGGGCTGAAAAATTTTGGATTTTTTTAAGGGGGTCTCGTTTCCAGTGCTCTCCCTCCCTGGATTCGCCACTGTGTTAAACAAAACAAAAAATCGTTCTCGCGCTTAATCACGTATCAGGAAAACACTGAAAATGAATCATAAGTATCAAACATTACTCTAATTAACAGAAAAAACAAATCAGCATAGTTTTATTGAATACCAAACTAAATTATGAAAGGCTGCACCCGTAATATCACAATTCTTTTGACGAATTTTTTTTAAACCTGAAGTTAGTGTAAATTAGGTAGGTAAACTTATCCAATAGGATCCATTTTGGCCATGAATCCCCCTAGCTATATGTACACGTGCTCAGAAATCAGGAAGGTTTAGCACCAAGTAGGTTCCTTGTGGGTGTTAGAGATATCATAAAATATATAACATTGCTATACGATGATTTATAAATGGAGATCTAGGAGTATACTTATTTGTACTGATGACGCCAACGAATATTTTTCATGTCAATAACACATACAATATAAAGCAAAGTCATACATTTCTCAATAACATCTACCCACTTTTTACACATTGACCCTAATTAAGTTTATTGTATATTGAAAACTAATTATCGAATGTAAACACGTAAACGCATATCCTCAGAGCATTATGAACTTGTTAAATTATTAATTTGACGAACTTCTATTATAGTGCATGTTTATTATCACTATCAACATTGTGAAGGATTTCAAATTTTGACTGAGAGTCACTGTATTAAACAACAAATATAAAATAATTTATGAATATTTAAATGAATACCATTAAATCTTGGGGTGATTAAATTAGCATGAAATAAAAACTGGAAATAACATTTCATGGATCTGACGACAGTATTGAGCATCTTTAGTTGCTCGGCAGTTTTTCAAGTCTTATTTACGTTCCATTTAAAAATACAAAATATTAAATTTATATTTACCTGTGATAGATCTTCAATTATTTCTTGGATAGATCGTCAATATTCATATACAATCATATATTTAATTATTAATTTGTATAAGCACCTCCACAGGGTGGTCCTTATTTTTCAACTTTGGAATTTTTTACC